AGAATGCTGTCAGAGCACTGATAACCATTTTGATAGCAAATAACTTTTAAAAAAACCACAAACCTTAAATGGGTGTGTACGTGCTTGCATGAAAGGACAGTATTTTTTTAATTCATTAATACCATAGACATGATTCCATTTGCAAAGATTTGCAGAACATGAACTGTATTTGCTACCAAAGCATGTAATTGCATAGTTTTAAAAATCCTAAAACTAACATGAAAGTCCTTTCGAGCCTGATTTGCATTGAGACAGCAAAATTTGCATTCAATTGATTTCTGCAGTTAGATGAATGCAATGGAATTATGAAGCAAAATTATTTCCCTTTAGTAAATTAATAGGTATTAATTTTTGTAGTCACTGCAACAGAATAGAAACTTAATTTTCCAGGTGGACTCCCTGATATCAATGGGACTCCCTCAGGCTAAATAATCAGAAGGTGCCAATACTGAATATCACTAGAGTGCCAAACTGGAACTGGATGTTATATGCAGCAGGGAACATCTGACAGCAAATATTAATCCAGGCTTAAATATTACTACAATTCATATTCTGAAAATACATTTTTAAATTAAACATTGCACTGACAAATTTTCTGTCCCTCTTTAACTATCCCAACTCCAGGATATAATTTTTGGTTTTTAGTAAATCATAATTGCTGGCCAGTCACAGTTTTCAACACATTAGTCACTGTTGTGCTGACTGATTTTCTTCTTCATACATTTGTTCTACATTAGCATTTTTATTTGAAAGTACGTAAATCTTAAAAATTTGTGAAACTTAAGGGAGAGGAGTGTTCAAATCTGACACAAATCTGACTGTTGGCAGCTCCACCTGACAGCCCATCAAGTTTCCAGCTCTGACACTTGTGTAGTTTAAGGGCTGACCTGCACCAGAGGAGAAAAATTATGGTCTCAAAACAGGTGGCCAGTACACTGTTAAGACAATGATTCAGGAAGAGGGTTTTTTTAAATTTAATTTAGCTGGCTTTAATGAACCCCATGTTAAAGGGGAAAACACAGGTAGGAAAGACAGCTTCTTTTTTTCTCTCATCTTTTCACAGCACCAGTGCTGGAGAGACCAGAGTGACAAGGACAAGAGGATGAAGCAGCAAGATGCTTCGATAGCAACCACCAAGTGGAGGAAGAGGACCTGGGTCTACTGGACAATGATACCAAGAATGGAAACAGGCCAAAGAAAATGGATAGAATAAAGAATTTTAGGGTGAGAAATAATGGTATGTGGAGACTACAGCACGAAGTTCAGAGGATAAAGGGATAAAACAGCTGAAGCTGATAGTGTAAAACTGCCCAGTCTCAGCATGGCAGGAAAAGAATAGGAATTTGCTACTCAGAGTTCAGACCTGAAAGTAAACCCTGTGATCATTGTCCTCTTCTGCTGATGAGGGCAAAGTATCCACAAAATGTTATTTTTTTTTACGTCTACAGATGAAGGGAACCAACTATTGCCATCAGGAATGCTGGTGTCAATGAGGTTGCACAATTCCATGCAGTTGCTGGTATAACGTTATATGACAACAGCTCAGATTTTTCAGTTTAGTTATGAAAAGTAACCCAGAAAACTATCTAGAAAAACTAAAAACATTTTAGAAACATTATTCAATCACTCTGAAGACAAGGAATCTAAGAAATGAGGCTTTCTGTGACACCACATCTCAGTCTCCCTGCACACTATGATACTGTTAAACTAGTCTACCCACACCCTACATTTCTCTCTCCCGTGACTTGTGCCTCATTCAATGCAGAAAATTACCATTTCTTTCATCAAGAAAGATTACTCTATTTATATACAGAATTCCTGCTTGGTCTAACTGAAGAGAGAGGAATGAAAGGCACAGCCATAGAATGTGAATCCTCCCTCTAGGCATCATCCCAATACCTGCTACGAAATCACAGTGCAAGATGGAGAAAAGCCATCACATCTGTCAATGGTTATGCCCTCTGTCTTCCTGATTCCCTTGTACGAGTCTAGAACCTTGGAGCACAATTTGATTTCAGAACATGCAAAAATTAAAACATCACAACAACAACAACAAAAAAGCATAAACAAACGCCCTCTTGGGGCAAGGGAAAAGCTGGCATTTCTCAGTCATCATGCCAAAAACTGAATGATAGTTGGAGGGAAAACTGTGCAGGGATTGAAGCAAAATTTATCAAAATGTAAAAGGGAACAACTTTCCACCGTAAAGGGGTGCTGTAACAGCAGTTCCCTACTACATAGCACCACTAGTCAGAGCTGCACAGAGAAGCCCAGAGGAAATTAAAAATTCTGTTTCATTATGGTACATGGGTGGGGGGCAGAAACAATACATGGAACACAGAATGAACTGTGAAGACTTAAAAAACCCCATATCTGAATGAGTATTTCTTCATGAGTGAAGCAGGGTCCTGATGTGACTGCATAATTAGACTGTCATACTGACATCATGATGCAAAGCCAAGGTTTGTACAGACATTTTCAATTATTAAATCTGATGCTTTCATCTCTGCATACTCCTGTGTTGTCACAGTAATGAAAGAAAACAGGTTATGTCATTATGACCATCCCCTGCTTTTCCAGGGTAAAGGTAGAGTAGGAGACTGATGATACCAGGCATATGCAAATACTCTAGAACACCATATGGTGACAGTGGAGGAGAGAAGAACGAGTCTGGGGACCCAAAGGACCAGTGAACCTGGGCAGTAGGAGTCACAGCACAAAGCTTCATGGTCCAAAAGCAGCACAGCAAAGAGCTTCCCTGCACCCAGCACACTTAATCTGCAACCCAGATAGTCTCCCATGAATAATCAAGGCTTGATTGTGTGCAGCAGAACTCTATTAACCTCACCACTCACTGCAGCAGGTCACATCCTCCATAAACTGCTTAGTGATCAAGCAACCCTAAAGTGCACAGCCTCTTACAAATGTCTTGAGTCTAGTAATGGGCTAGTTGCCTCCAAGGCCATGGCTACAGTACAGAGCTTCATTTCAGATTCATCGGTTTTGAAGACTTCGGGGAATCAATTATCATCATCTAATCTTTTCCTCGCATACGAGAGCCAGATTCCTAATTCTGTAGCACGTCAGGAACAGTTTCTCCTTTCATCTCCTGAACCAAAACCTGTTGAAAGCTTTGGACTTACCACTGAGAATACAAATCAAGACACATCTCAGGATTATCTGATGGGCAGTAACCAGTGTAAAATAAAGCTAGCAAGCACATCTACTCCTCCAGCCTTTATGCTTACCTGAAAAGAAAGGTACAACTAGATGCAACGATGCTGTAAAGGGAAAGATCAGGTGTGCTGACCAGGCACTTACAGCAAATGTCGAAGTTGATGTTGTACCTCTGTTGTGAGGGTGGGAGGGGAAGGGAGGGATTTGGCAAGAGAGTCAAGGATGTTTCTGAACACTTAAGTCATACGGAAATGGGGAGAGAGTATAAAGGAGCACCTCAGGTTAGATCTCAAATAGACAAGTATCAACTTCTGAGGAAGCTGACCAGCACAGAGGAAGGATACATCAGGCACCTGGCACACACAGTCTTACAGCTGAAGAAGACTAACAACTTGTCCAGCTAGCGAGATGAACCACTACCCAGTGTTCAGTGGCATCACGTTCTGGGGCATCTGCAGATGGAACACCACCTTATTATCCACAGGCAAAAAGCCACGCCAGAAATGCACCTCTGCTGCCACTTGTGCTTGAGCAAAAAATTTCCAAACACTGCTTTTCCCCACCTAAATGAAAGCCAACGGTGTCATGTGTGAGACACCACTTGCAAACTGAATATTGGACACCATACTGAAGTCATGAAAAAAATGCTCTAGAAATTCTCTAACTCCTGGTAATCTTTCTTTTTTCCTTTTTTTTTTTTTTCCCCATCATTTACCACTTAAAGCAAACAGTAAAGAAAAAGATCCAAAACAAACCCCAAAGGGAAATTCTAAGCATTCTCCATGATTCTCTGGAAGTAATACTCTTACAAAAGCAGTCTGGCAAACACTCTGTGAGCTGAAGTGACTTGTAACTAATTGTTAATATTTCCAAGGAAAAGTTTCCCTTAAATAATACACTGGAATCAGACATCTTGAAAACCAAACTATGGCTCTTGAAACTACCTTTGTGTTTAAAAGCAGCCAAGGCAAAACTACCGCCACAAAGCGTAGAATTAACTGTAGCTACCCTCTCACCGTTTGTAAAGCATCAAGAGTAAGAAGTTGACATCCGACTTGGGAAAGGAAAAAAGTCAAGAGTAGGGACTCTATGCCACAGTTTGTAAACCCAGCAGCAGACCTAAGAGGTGGAGTTTTTTGGCTCAGCAAAAAGTGTAATAAAATCCTCGGCTGCCTTTAGTTTTAGCCTGACATATCCTTTTGCAGTAAAACAAACACGAATAGCAACGCAAGTTTCTGCAGGAAAACACCTTACCAAAACTGCTCCGAACCAAAACCCAACCCTCCGACCAAAAGCACCATAAAATGGTTGATGAAAAAGTGAGTACGTTACCCTGACAAAACCAACTGCTGTACAACGGCAAACGAAACGGACCGAAAAGTAGGACTCCATTTTCAATCGCGATGAAATAAAGCGGGGATTTTTCAACTGAGCACCGAACCCGCCGAGGCGCGGCCGCTGCCGGCGGGCGATGCGAATCCCGCCCGCCGGGGATGCGCTCTGCCCGCGGACCGTGCTCCAGGGAGAGCGGGGCTACGGCCCACGGCGCAGCGGGGCCGCTTGCAGCACCGCCGCCGGCAGAGACACCGGACGGGGACACCCCGGCGCGCAGCCCCCGCCCCGCCGCGCGTTTCGGGGAGCTCCCGCCAGCAAGCAGCCGCGCAGGGCCCCGGGCGACACCCGCGCTCCGCCCTGGGCACCGGCCCGCACATCCCGTCCCGCCGGGCGCGCCCCCGCCCCGCGGGTCCTCCCGCGCCGCCCCCTGGGTCCCCGCCGCCGCCTGCGCCACCGCGGGAGGCCGCGGGCCCGGCCCCGCCGCTCACCGCTCTTGACGTCTCCGGGCGCCGCGCCGCCCGCGGCCGCCGCTCCGCCTGCCCCGCCGCCCGCTCCGCCGCCGCCGCCCGCGGCCGCCGCTCCGGCTCCGCCACCCGAGGCACCGCCGCCCGCCGCCGCCGAGGCTCCGCCGCCCGCCGCCGCCCCGTTCTCCTGCTCGTCGCCGCTGCTGTTGGCGCGCTTGTTCTTCTTGCCCTTGCCGCCCTTCTGGTTCGGCATCGCGGGCCCGGCCGCCGCCGCGGCGGGGCGGGCGGGCGGCGGCGGCTGCAGAAGGCGCCGCCGCCGCTACCTCCGGCTCATGGCGGGGCCGCGGCGGCCGCGCTGCGCTGCGCCGCGCCCGCGGTGGGCGGCGGGGCCCGGGGGCCGGGCCGGGGAGGGCGAAAGGCGTGTCCCGCTCGGCCGCCCGCCACCGCCGCCCCTCTTCCTCCCGGAGCAGGCGCGGGCGGCGGCGGGAAGCGGCGTGTGCCGGGGGGGGGCTGGGGCTGAGCCAGGCGCGGGCAGCGGGAGTGGCTTATCGGGAGAGGGAAAGCCCCGCTGCCGCCGGCAGGGGCGGGGGGGTTGTAGCGCCTCCCGGGAGGGGACGGATCGCATCCTGCAGCCGGGAGCCAGAGCGGGGATCGCGGCTGTAGCCGATGCCCCCGCAGCCCCGGGGCGAGGTGGGAGCCAGGGGTCTCCCTGCGGGTTTCTCACCGCGGCTGCGGCCGGTGCTGTGAGGGCTGGGTCCCACCGTGGCATCCCAGGCGGTGTGAATGTCCAAACAGCGGGGAACAGTTGGAAAATGTCACCTGAGTGTGCAGGAATAAAAGGGGAGGGGGGGGAGGGATGGGAGGAAACCAAAACAGTGCATTCTCGTATTGGGGGGTGGGTCAAGGAGCACAAAGCCTTACAACAGTAGAGCCCTGACTTGGGATTTCTCATCTCATCTGGTTGCTGGTGTGGGTAGATCCATGTGTGATGGATAACGGGATAACTCCTTTAGAATATGAGTTGGATTAAGACATTCAAACTGCTGCGCACGCCTGGAGCAGAGCTGGAAGCACCGAGGCTCGACAGAGGCTTTGTGGAGGGGCAGCAGCCTCCTCTTCTGTAGGAGTCCAGGAGTCCTCAGGCGGAGGCTCTGCAGAAAATTGGTAACTAATATTCACAGGATTCCTGCACCCAGGGATGTGAGATGCTGCCTGTCAGCTGCAAAACAGCAGCACTTGTGACATGCCTTTGCCTGGCTGATGAGCAGCAGCTCCCTGCTCACAACTACCATCTGGCAGTGTGCTCACATTGCTACCTACCAGCTTATCCAACTTGGGAATAAAAAATTACAACCTATTATAAAAACATTAGACCAGCTATCAGGATGAGCCGTTATTTTGAGCTTGGCAAGCTTTTCCTTGCACAAAGATTAACTTTTTTTCCTTCTCTTCCAGGTCTTGCAGATGAGGCTTCCATGATTTTTTTACACGGGTATGGAAGAAATTCAGGAGTTATGGTGAGTGGTCTGTGGCTGTTCCACTCTGGGAGGACAAGAGCATGCCTGAGCTGTCTGCGCTCTAGAGGTCAAGTCAAAGTGGATGGGTCAAAACATGCAAGAAGTGAGGTCTGTCTGATGGGAAGATGCTGTACTTTGTAAGTCACGGGTTTATCTGCAGTGACTGGGCAAATGGGCTGGAATAGTTCCCAAATGTTTTCCTCGGAGACTGGACAGACATCCCAGATCGTCTTGTACCTGGGCCTACCTAAGCCAGGGCCTTAGTTTTGCAAGAAAATTAGCTGCCATATTTTCAAATACTCTTGAAGTGGCTATCACAGTAAGTTTTGAGTTACATAGCCTAGTCTCTTTCCTTGAAGAAATCAACATTTTAGAGAGATTTTGAAGCAGTTTCTTGTGTTCATGGAAACCTTCTGAAAATATGTGCTTTTCAGTATCTTGCATTGCCATAGCTAAATGTCCTGCCTATCTTAAGTTCACAGCTTTGAAACTTCTAAATTGCACTTCTATTCAGAAATTAAAGGAATGGAGAAAGTGTAGCCAATTTCCAAGGCCACAAGGTTGGACAAACCTTGATTCCAGCCACCTCAGTTGTAGACCTTCTATTTGTTTTGGCAAGAGCAGATTTTGCCCTTCTTTAGGCTTACACAGGAGAAAAAAAGAAAAAAGGATCCCTTCCACTATCTTGCTCGCTGGCAAGTAAAGGTGCTTGCCTGCAGTAACAGCAGCAGACCTCCAAAGGAAACTTTTCAAGTCTGCAAATTCCAATAAAACAGTGAAAGCCCCATGGATGTAAAATAGAGGCCTGAGTCTCATGTCCAGAGTATGTGCAGTGTGTCAGACTAAGTTTGGCACTAAATTGACTAAATGTGTCAGTTTGAGCCAAGACAGCATCTCCTTACCATGAATTAGAAGAGCCACTTCCATGGCTGGATAAGGGACTGTAACACCTCAAAAATCAGTTTTGCAAAATGTAAGCTTCCTGGTTTGGAAGGTCAAATCTTAGTGATGTTCAGTCTTTACACTCTTGCAAGGGTTGTGCCATGTGTAAGCAAGACCTTCTCAGGATGAGATCATAGAAATCATGTGCAGAGATCAAGTAATTCATGACAGTTTCAGCAGTCATGGAGATCTGCTATAATGTTCTGGGGGTGAAAAAAGTCTTCCATAAGTGTGGCAAGTACCAATGCTACCATGTATGATGCCTGATTTCCCTGGCCTGGTCAGACTGGCACAGTTCCCTGGTACATGTTCTACCAGATTTCAGTTTGCACTTAGATCTTTTCCATTTATCATACTTTCTTAGGAGTTCCTTTATCAGAATAGATATGATTTCCTTAAATAAACAAGGAAGATATTAGCAAACATGTCACCTTTCACAGCCTTTTATTCTTATTTGTTTGTATTTTTTATATATTATTTCTTTCCCTATACAAAGAGCTAACAACAGAGTCAGAAAGCTGACCTTAGCATACTTGATTTGCAGCAGTTCACAAATTGTTAAATCTCACTGAATTTTGATTTAGAACATAAAAGGCACCTTAATACCCATCTGTAGTAACATAAACAGCATCACGTTTGTATACTTCAAAAGAGCAGCATGTATAAAGGATCAAGAGACTTTGAGAAAATGTGCTAAGTCTGTTTTCTACAGAGAAGAAAAATTCCTCTAAGCAATATATTTTGGATTTACAGGTATTGGCCAGTATTTCATTCTTGGTGTAATCTACTTTGAGGTTAAAAAATGAGCTTGAAAATATCAATAACAGAAAAAAATTACTGCACCTGATCATCACGATGGTATAGGAACAAAGACTTTCTTAGTAGCTATAGACTAGACACTTGAAATCAGGGACATACTCTGAAAAGAGACTCAATTGACAAGAAATGGGAGTAGATAAAATAGTGCCATTTTACTTAAATTACTGACAGAGAGAGATGTATTTCACTCCACGGCTGTCAAAAAGTGTGAGAGAAACCTAATGGGAAGATGTAGTGAATCATTTTGGGATCTTCCTGTCAGAAATATTTAATACAAATAACCTGTATTATGAACTTTCTATGTAGGTGCTTTTAGCCTAAGGTTAAAAAGAACGAATTAGATGAAAATAGTGAAAACTCAAACTCAGACCTCTGCAGTTCTCCACAGCTGTAAAACATTCATTCAAGTCCAGGTTCAAGCTGATCAAATAGAACTACCCATAACCAAGAAATAAAAATAAAACATCCTTTGTGGGAGACAAAATTGAGTACTTTGACTGGTTTATTTTATTGCTAGCTATTACCATCACCTCTCCAGATAACAGGTTACAGCTCACCCAGCTTCTTAAGATGACTAAAAACTCACACCTGGGCTCTGGTTAGTTGTCTTTCAAAAATACCCGCTCTGAAGAGAGATAAATCTCTCATCCTCTCTCTCTGTGGCTCTCATCTGTGCTTTCCACTGATGCCACAGTGGTCTTTCACCTCCTATCCTCTCTTAGTAAAGCCCCTAGCTGAGTGCCTGGGAACATCTGTACTGCAGCTTCCCTCTCCTCAATGCCTTTGGCTGAAACTCTGAAACCAAGAGATGAAATGACTTTGGTTCTTCGAACCACTGTCTGTAACGAGTCTTTGTCCTAGAAGTCGCTTATAATTTTTCCTGAGTAGTGTTATGTGAATCCTTCCAGCTTTTAAGACAATGAAAGCTGAGTTTCCTGAAGCATCTTTCTCTGTCCCTAATGTGAAATAATGGCAGACAGGCCTGTTACCGTCACAGTTGGCCAGTGAAGTTTGCCAGGGAAAAGTGGTTTAATCAGAAAATGTGAGCTTCTCAGAAATTGTTTATGACAACTGACTGAATGCAGACTCTTGCAAAGCCCCAAGTATTTTTCAAGTCCTGGGAGCTTTGGTTCCAGAGCAGCACATTCACAGGTTTTGCACCCACTGAGGGAAAATTGGTGGCATTTGTTACCTTCACTGCTGCTATTCAGAAGTTGGTAGATGATGAAGTTAAAGAAAATTATATCAATTTCACATAGTTATGGCTGAGATGACAGGGAGGGCACAGGTTTTCCAAGGGAATACTGTGTGTCTGTGAAAAAACCCTGGGTTTTGGGAAGCTGCAAAACACAAAATTATCCATAACCTAGGAATTTTTCTGGTTCTCCATGAGTGTTCACTGCAAAGAAGTTGCTAGCCTTTCTTCCAGGCATTTCTTAACAAAAAAAAGGAAACTCAACATGTAATGTGTGAGCTGTTACTCATCCTTTGAATAATGGATGCTATTTTCTGCAAAGGCTCCAAGCCACACACAGGCAAGTTTTCTCTGCATCTGTAGGAAGGTGGTATAGCAACAGTTGTTAAAGGAGAAGGGATGGACCAGTCTTTATTTCACTTCTGTGGTGTTTACTTTTGATTAAACTAGATTGAGCTTCCAAAAATACAGGGGGGGATATGCTTGCCATCTCTGGGATGAGGGACAGGCAGGGGATCGGTCTCTTCTGCTGTCACTAATTATGTGTAAACGCCTGGGTTTGGGGATTTATAATGAGATCTCAGGAGATGGGATCTGCTATTACTAATTGCTATTACTCCACTGAATGGGAAGATTGGTTTAGACGTCTATGGTAGGGAAGCTGGAAAGCACTGCAGAGCAGTATGTGAAATTAAGGAAAGTGGTGCTGCATGCAGTTCCTTGTGCTCAATGAAGTTTGAGCGCTAATGATCAAAGGTGAAGGCCCTGACTCCAGAGCAAAGCACGAGCATGATG